GCCATCCGTGCCACGTCAGCAAGAGAGAGAGCGGGGTCCGCTAAATTAACGGATATTTAACGGACGGCACCCTCGTCCGTTATTAACGGATCCGGGTGGCCACCTCTAACGCCGAGGAGGCGTGTCGTGTAGCGCTCTGTGGTGTTGTTTCCCTCGCAGCCCTCGCAGCGCTGTGCATACTCTGACGGGTTTGGGCGCACAGCTGTGTGCGTGTCGACTGCCGGTTCGCAACGCGCGACTTGCTTCGAGGACGGTGAGGGAGGCACGCAGCACTGAGGAAGTGCTGAGAAGTGTTTTGCCGTGAAGGCGAACACAAAAAGGCGGTGAAGGACATAGTTGTAGGCAGTGCTGTGAAAGCACTGCTGTATTCATGCGACTGCAGCTGTCCTACCGTGTTGTGAGTGGGGTACTGGACTCATAGGTATCGAAAACACCACTCAAAGGAACCCAGTGAGACCCCCAGGTCATTTTCGATGATTATGGTGGGCCTTCGCGATCACAACCATAATGAGCATTGATGAATGCCTATATTTGTTGCTATGCTTGCGTTCATAATTGTATTGCCATCGCCATCAAACTGATTTATCAATGTGATAGTGATACGGTTAAGACAAAGGACAAAGGCTTGTTACATATGCAGCATGATTACATAGCCATGCTGTATATGTGACAAGCCTTCGTCCTATCCGTTGGCCTGGAAGAATGTGCTAGTGTCATTGTTGGTAAAGCTTTGAAGCAAGATCCCATTTGTTCAAAGGGGAGGTCGTTTCGATTTCTGCACTGTTTGGCGTGTTGGAGATGCACATGGAAACCGAAACGAAGAGCATGCGTGGAACTATCCCCGCCGCTGCTTTGGGAAGCCAGGAAAGCACTTTGCTCCTTTTGTCACGAAGATGTTCAAACGACTGGGGCGTTCCACATTTCATGACGGAAAGCTCACTGAAGAAAAGGCGCCACTGCGTACCTCAACATCCATATTTTTTGTCACGGCCTGCAACCACATCACATCAGAAAAATATGCCACTCGGTAGCTGCCTTCATATCATGTTATATTATGAAACCTTGGGAGAAATACACACCTAAGAAAATGCAAATACAAATAAAGTTAAGACAAATACAATGCTAGATGGAATATGCTACAAATACTATAAAAATTTTGTATGACCTCCATACAACTTCTAGCACTAGGCAAGACGTGTTGTGGTCAATGCAGCAATTACATTAAAATTGAAGTATTTGGGAAATCCGGCAAACTTCCCCATTTTTTCATCAAATGGGAAACCGGCACAACAACGTAAGTAAAAAGTACAATTTGGAAATTTGGCGGCCAGAAATCCATTTTGCAATTTTGGATGGTGTTGCTTATCATGCTCAAAATGGAAAATCGGCACAACAACTTCACTTGATGATGGAAAATTGGCAAGAATGCCAATTTTCCATTTTTAAACATTTTTACTAAAAGCTATCTATCAATTTGCATGTAAGTGAGTTCTGCCAGCAAATCTGGCCATGTGAGACGATTCCCAGTTGAAGCAATAGGAAAACAGGCATGCCCATATCAGTGGCAGCCGCCATCGCTGGCTGAAATATTGTGTGATGTGCAGTGTTGCATTGCTGCATTGCTGCTGTTGTATTTGTAAGATACTGCTAGATTGGTGACCTGCAAATTGTCGACAATCATCACACAGAAGTGCAAACATGACACCAAGGTGGATCTGTTCACAGCACCACCACGCACGACACACAAACGCATTGAGAGTTTTCTACACGACGGGTTCTTTCCAATGTCCTGCCATGTTTTTTTGGACTGGTTGATGGATGACCATTGGCCTTGGGGTCTCCCAGAGCCTTGGATGCTCGGAAAGCGAATGCCATCGCCTCGGAGGCCGCCGCCCGCGAGGCACGCCACAGTGCCGCCATCGCTGCCGCAGCCGTGGAGGCCAACGCCCTGGCGCTGAAGGAGCTGAAGCAGAAGCTGCGCGAGCTGGAGGTCGCGCACGAAGACAAGTTGGAGTGCGTAAGGGCGCAGGGGCGGAGGGAGCTGCAGGCGTGCCAGGCAGAGATGCGGAAGGAGCTGGCGACTGCCCAGGTGAGCATGGACAAGCGGCCCTTCGGGCGGACAGTCTGCGGATGCGAAATGGGGTCGCAATTCTACACATGTGTGAATGTTGCACAGCGGATGTGCTTTTGTCATTTGGGCCCTCCCAGCGACCCCTTGTTTCCGCACGACACCATACTCATCCGCAATTGGCACTTGGCCGTTGCTTGATAATTCTATGGAACGGATGTTGTGGCCAGTGGAACAGCCCAGCAGTGTGCTGTGAGCCCAGCAGTGTGCTGTGCTCCCAGTGCGGGTAAGTTGCACACATTTGCATTAATTACATAGATAGGGCGTAAAGTTCGCATTCGTGCGGTGAGCACCGCCCTTCCCCTCGAAGTCGACGGCGGGCGGCGCATGTAGGGGCCAACAGGGCTGGGCCCCACGGCACACGGGAGTGCGTCGGTGAAGCTGAGTTCATGCATACCTGCTGCGGTCACTCGCGTCTCAACATGGCTTGCACTGTAGCTGTAGCCCCGGGAAGATGATAGCCTCAACGACGTGCCGACTGATGCCATATCTTGTGCGTTTTGTCCAGTCTGCACTCGAAATTCTGAGAGCCAAGCAAGTTAGAGTCCGGCAGTGGGTTGGCACTGTGGAGACCCTGGAGACCTTGCCTTTGGGCGACACCGGCGATTACCCTGTCGGCGGCTTTCCAGATACACTGTCGGAGGTGTGGTCATCACAGGGACGCGCTGTGGCCCAAGGCCCTGGTGCCTGCGGATTGTTGTAAACAGGCAGGGTCGCGAATTTGGCTTCCGTCGGCTGGCCTGCACGAGGCTCGCCCATGTGTTTCCCCTTGAATTCATTTCGGTGTCTCCCCACGAGTTCACTACCAACCCACGAGTGTTATATGTAAGCTGTGTGTTGCCAGGTGACAAGGGATGTGCGTGTATCCTTCTGACAATAGTCTCTTCCAAGCATGCCCAGGCTCAGCAGGTTGGTGCCGCCCGTGGCCGCAGGTCTCTTGCCGCGGTGTTAGACAGCGGTGCATGCATAAGCTGGGTGTCTGCACATCAACATCCATTCCTTGCAGCTTGGAGCGGCCCTGCTCGAAGAACGCCCACGGCAATCGCTGGCATGTCATACCAAGTTCTCCGCGCTCGCACCCCGTTGCATGTCATGTACTGCGTGTTGCATACCAAGACGCGAAGACGGGTGCGAGGCGTGTAGTGAAGGCCTTGGCAAGAAGGTCTACACTTCTCGCACATGGCGTCGGTGATGAGTGCAGTCGTGCGCCAAAACGCCGTCATTGCGGGTGGTAGCGACCCAGGAGCAATAGCACGCCGGCGCTGATGCGCATGCCACATCAACGACCCGCCAACGATCAGCGTGTCACATCAACGACCAGCAGACGATGAGCTCAAAAGTGTCACCCCAAATGGGACGTTGTGCGAAACTATTGCGAGCCCGGCGGCGATCCCCTTCCCGCGCACAAGGCTTCCGCTCCTCGTCCAGCACCCCCCCATCGGCAGTTGTCCTCCGACTCGGCTCCTCGTGGTGCTTGAAACGCGGGAGTCTTGCTCGCAACGGGGGTGTCCGTTTGCTCAGCGCGCCTATGTGCGAGCGTGTTCACATTTCCATGGACGGGGTGGGTGCGCCAAATGGCCAACACATCGGCCTGTTGACCGGCGATCGTCGGGGGGCGCAGTCGACCCCGCCTCACTCCCGCCGGACCGCCTCGGCACTGGTGACGCCCAGAAGACTCATCGATCGTCATGCCAGGGGTGCATTGCAGGTGTGGCGGCGATGCCGGCAGTCTTGCACGGTGTGTGTTGGGGGTGATGAATCGCAACCAGGTCACACCGGCGTCGCGCCGCGCACCCACTAGTGCACGGGCAGCAACGCCCCCCGCCCGACTGGTCCTGTAGTTTGGCGGCGGAGGGGGCAGAACATTGGCCCAGTACCTTCGCGGGGGTCGATGACTGAGGGAACATGCGTGCCGCCCGGCGGTGTCGCTACCTCGTATGCCAGTACGATGGGCGCTCATATCTGGACGGCTTGGGGCTGTGGCGTTGAGACGACCACTTCTTTGAATGGCCCGGTAGCCGCGGCGCTGGGCGCTGCGCGGGGGGAACAGGTGGGCCCTTCGGTGCCCGGTGCGGTGGGGACGGCCGGGGCCCGTCCCGGATGACTGAACCCTCTGGCACTTGAAGGTGAGCCAGCGAATTCGCCAGCGCTGTAAAAGGAACGATGAGCTCGCAAAACACACGGGAGAATGCCGTTTGCGCTGTTGAACACGGTCAGTCCCATCCTGGGCGCTGCTTCAAGCCTTGGCGTAAGGGGGGTGCGTTTTCTGGAGGCCCAAAGCTGTGCGCGTTTGCCGATCGACGGGGCATCGCACTGGGGGGGTTGCCACACGTGCACGGTACATGCGCACCGTACACGCGCGTCGGAGGGATGCCCGGCGGGCACATCGTTAGCCGTGGGCCGCGATGACTCGGGGGAAGGAAACGGACGGGTGCGCCGGGGCGGTTGTCCGGCGCGTCCACTGCGCTCGGGGAGTGCCGCGGCGCCCTGGCGCAGCAGCTTCCTGCGCGCTGCGATTAGCATGGGTGGCACGCTTGGGTACCAAGCGGGGCCTCGTAGTCTCGGGATCGGCCCGTGACGCGATCCGGCCCCCCCCTGTGGCGATTTTGATCCTCTTGGCGCATTGAAAAGAAGCTGCGGTGGCGCGGAACGAGGGAAACGCGGTGCGGCCGAGCCCAACTCGGTGTCGGTTGGTACCTTGGTACTTCGGCCGCGCGGGCGGCCGACCTGCAGGGCGGGGGCCTTACATCGTTGCCTGGCCCACCTCCGCGCAGTAGATCTGCCGGCGGTTTCCGGGCCGTTGGCGCACCGATTGCTGGGCGGTTGGGCAATGACGTGCATCGGGACGGCTGGATCGGCGGGCGTGGCGACCGGCGCCGCAGGGGATGGTGTCGGAAAGGGGATTTGGGACCTTTCTCGGATGGCAATCCAGTGCGCGGCTCCTGCGGACCGTTCCGGCACCGGCGCGTAACTGATGGCGCGCCGTGGGTTCAGGCTGCCGCGCGCCTTGGACGGTTGCGTCTGCCCGAGGATGGGACGGCCGCAGTTGCAAATGACTCCCTCAAAACATGACGACCCGTTCCCAAATGCGACTACAAGACCGAATCTCCATTGGCGGTCCAGTGGTTCGTTGTGCCTCGTGCCAGGGACGGATGTCCATGTGTCGCTGTCGACATGCGCGTCTGTCGTGACCCCCTTGGTCCTCCACCAAGGCGAGCCCGCTGCCCCCACAAGTCCACAGCCGTTTCGACTGTGGGAGGTGAAGGAAATGGCCGCGCTTGTTGGTCCATTTCCATGCATTCTTGAGGCGGGGCTGTGCGGCAGTGTGGGCCCCATTTGCACTGCTTGGAACCCCAAATCCCTGAAGAAGGAAGTTTGCGATTGCCATAGGCGCTCTAGGAACCCGCCTCACGAGTGCCAAAACGAGGAGCGAATATTCTCCCGCCCACGGCTTGTTGCCTAAGCATTTGTGAAACCCCTTTGATGCCAGCCATCTCCGCAGTTCCACTCACTTGTATTGGTCGTTGCTTCTCAGTTTTCCAGGCACTCTTTGGGGCTTTGCCTTTTTCCAGCAGTGCCCAACAGCATGTTTCTTTTGGGAACTTCATTGGCTGTCGTCCCTTTTCAGTCTCCCAGAAGAAATGCTCAAGGTGTAACAAAATTGCTCAGAGTACATTCAGACCCAGGAGCAATCAAGGTTGCTTTGGTCTTTGTGCAAAGGCAGATTGTTGCAGCTCACACATGCCACTAACTGCCTTGTGGATCCTCCAGAAAAGGCTATGGGCAGAGTCCGCTCCAGCAGCTGGAGCCTGGCAGCATATGCTACACGCTGCTTGTCCTTCTTGCTGGCGGTCATCGTCCCCATCTCCTGCCTGGAAACTGAAAACCAGTTTGGCTTCGTCTCCATCAATAATCACATCAACACAACAGTCGTGGCCGACTGCGAGGCGCTCCAGGAAGCCCTGCGGTCCGAGGTGGAGGACAACCTCATCGTGGTGATCGCCTACATTCGGTGCGACCCCACCGTGTGGGACCAGTCTGTCGTGGTGTATGGTAACAAGACGGTGACGGGCCCTGGCCATGGCGTCATCGTCGGGGCCGTGGACTGGGGGAGTGGCGACGGCGTGGTGGTTGTGGGCAACGGCTCCTCGCTCACCTTCCAGGACATAATCATCCTACAAGATTATCTCGGGGCCAATGCCCTGCTGAACTTGCAGTTCCTGAGCGCCGGCACTGAGTCCAACGCCTTTCTGAAGGGAGTGGCTGTGGGGGTTGGGGTGTGCCCCCAGCCGGTGGGCATATACGACAAAGACCTGCGCGACCTGGAGCGGCCTGGCCACATCCCCGGAGAGCAGGAGGCCGCCAGGCTGGATGTGACCGGCCTCTTTGTCAGGGACGTGGCTTTCTCACCCTATGGCGACTCCACTTGGCAGCAGTGCAACGTGATATGGCGCTGCGGGGTGATGTCCGCCCTGGAGCCCAAATTCTTGAAAGATTTCAACGACGAGCTGGTGAGTCCAGTGTGTGGGGACCCATTAGCGGATGGCGTTTCGCCGCTGGGCGTGGGTCTGCGGCGGAGGAGAGTGGAAAAGGTGGAGTCCGAGGAGGACAAGGCAGCCATAGGGATCTCTCTTTCAGTGCTGGGGCTTTTCCTGGTAATTGTCGTCGTTGGGGCCCTCATGCTCTTCCGACACAGGGGCAAGAAGAGAAGGCGCAAAGCTGACGAGATTCAGCGAAAGATCAAAGGGCCACAGCACAATTGCCTGCAGCCCATGGACGGGCCGGGGGACGTGCTGGCCCCAAGGGAACTGTGCAGCCCCCACCTCGGGTCCACGTCAACCGGAAACTTCCCGAACGTCTTCAAGATGGATCTCGCAGACGTGGAGTTGGGCAAGCGGCTGAAGAGGGGGAAGTCCGGTTCCGTCTACAAGTGTTCCTATCAGGGGGTGCCGGTGGCCGTGAAGGTTGTGGATCACCGCGGCGAGGGCCTGCAGGAGGACACCGGGGAGCCCCTGGAGGCGGAGCTGTGCAAACAGATGCTGCACGGCAACGTCGTGGCGACGTATTTGTACAAGACTGTACGATTTGACAGCCTGTTCTCCAGCACTCACACCACGTGGAACAGGGGCTCGGCGAGCATCATGGAGACCCGGAGTGGGCAGCTGACGGAGTCGGGCAGCAACGTGGAGGGCTGTCTGAGCGTGAACATGGACCCCAAGGGGTACAGGACCTTCATTGTCATGGAGTACTGCAATGGCGGGTCGCTGCTGAAGGGCATAAATTCGGGGGTGAGCAGCCAGCTTTCTTTCGGCGTCGTTCCTCTGTTTCCCTGGATGGGACTCGAAAGTCACGCGACCGGTGATTTTTCCGTGCTGTTGCAAAATGTCGACAATTGCGACCATCTCTTGGGTTGGTTTCGCCTTTGAAGGATGCAGCCATTCGCAGCTTGCTCTCCATCCCCGCTCTTGCCCTCGCGCGCAATCACCCCATCATTGCTCGAGCTTTGCTGACTTTGCCAGCTGCTTCCCGTCAGGCATTCTTCACGCAGGAGACGGGCCCCTTGGCTATGCGCGCCCTCCTCACGGCCCTGGACATCGCCCGCGGTGTGGGCTTCCTGCACGACATGTGCATCGTCCACGGCGACCTGCGTCCCGAGTCCTGCCTGGTCAAGTCCGAGGCGTCCAACAAGAAGGGCTTCGTGTGCAAGGTGGGCGACTTCAAGCTGAGCCGCTACGTGGCCGACGCCCTGCCCCTTAAGGCCACCGCCGTGGGCTGCACGGCGTACGCCGCCCCGGAGCTGCTGAGGAGCGGCACGCTCACCAAGGCCGCCGACGTGTACGCCATGGGCATGATCCTGTGGCGCCTGCTGTCCGACATCCCCGCCTACAAGAGCATGAAGGAGGAGGAGGTCGTGGAGTTCGTGCTGCGCGGACAGAGGCCGGAAATACCGGCGCACTTTTCAAAGGGGTACCGGGAGCTCGTGGAGGCCTGCTGGCACCAGGACAGGGCCAGGCGGCCGGAGTTCCACCAAATCGTGGATAGGCTCCAGGCGCTGGTGTCGGCCGCGGCGGCCACATCCGGGGAGAGCTCCGCCCGGCCGGACGGCCCCGGCTCGCCCGGCGCCGTGGTGACCCAGCAGACCTGGGAGCTGCTGACGGAGTCGCTGTCCGGGAACCGCATCTACACCCCGGTGTTCCCGTCCGGCGACGGGTCGACTTCGTCCAAAAACCCGGACCCAGATGGGCAGCCCGCCAAGGTTGAGGGGGGCGTGAAGGACAGCGCGCCCCATGGGGGGGAGGTTGTGGATCTCGCGCCCAAGAGGAGGGGCGAGGTTGCTGCCGGGGAGGCATCGGAAGCGGGGGGCTCCAAGGAACGGGAGCAGGAACCGAGCCAGTCTGACTCCACCGCATCGGACAGCAGCGCATCCCCGCGCAGGCGCGTGTGCGACTCCGTGGCCGACATGCCGGGCAGCCGCGCGACGCACTTCCAGGAGGTCGACGAGGCCGTGGGCGAGTCGGAGAGGCCGTCGGACTCCGACCGGGGCAGCTCTTACGGGCGCAGCTTCCTGTCGAGCTTCCTGGCGGGCCGTGGCGGCTACAGCTCCCCCAGGGGGCGGTCCTCTCCGCCCAGGCACGCCGGCGTCAGTCGATTCGAGCATCGCGCTCCCCGGCGTGATAACGACCGGGGCCCCGGTCCCGCGAGCCCGTCCCGGCCGACCACCCGGGGGAGGTTCCAAGTGTCGATCGCCACCGCCACCAGCGCGCAGCACGCGGACCGGATGGGCCGGGCGGCGTGCAGCGGGGAGAGCGGGGTGGAGGGGGAGGGGGAGGTGCATGGGCTGCAGCAGTGCGCGCCGCCGGAGAGCGGGTCGGAGGAGGAGGGGGGGGAGGGGGAGCGGAGAGGCAGCGGGGAGAGCCAGCGGACGAGCAGCGGTGCGCTGCCGGCGCACCTGCCCGTGCCGCCCGAGACCTTCGGCGTGTCAAGCAAGGGTGGGTCCGACGGGCGTGGGCGTTTCGGGTTCGAGGGATGCGTTCACGTGAACTTGGATGCGTCCCTTGCACATTCATATGCGCATGCATGCGTTCATGCGCGCATGCGTACATGGAAATAATACTACTGCCTGCACCAAATCGGTGACTGCTTGCACCAAGTCACGTGCACACTTTGTCCTAACCTCAATTTTGGGGTTAGGTTTAGTTTCCGGGTGAGTTTTAGGGTCAGGGTTAGGGTTAGTTTAGGTTTAGGTTTAGATTTAGGTTTAGGTTTTAGGGTTTAGTTTTTAGGGTTTAGGTTTTAGGTTAGGTTAGTTTGGACGGAGTTGGACGTGATGTGCACGTGACTTGGTGCAAGCAGTCACCGATTTGGTGCAGCCAGTAATTTTATGCCGCATACATGCAGAGTTGAGTAAGAGTTGTCAAAGGAACGCTGTGTACACATCTCCCTGTGTACATGCAAGCATGCGTTAAGCCGGTTCCAACGCGAAATCGCGAGGCGCTGCGCCTACGTATCCAGTTCAACGCGATTTTTTGGCGAACGCAAATGAAAGAGCGCGCAGTGTCAGGGTAGACCGTCTGTCGCCAAATCGGTGTCCACTTCAATCCGCCCGGCAAACGAGAGTAGAAAACAAACGAAACTTGCATCGAAGTATCGGCATGCAAAGACAGAACTGAGAGAAATCATGCGTACATGTGAAGTAAACATATTCATGTAAGCGCTGAGTGTACTTACAAGAAAGGCTCTCCGACTGCATGGCGTTCCTGTGGGAGAAAAGCCAACCCTGGTAGCAACAAGCCAGCCTTCACTGTGAGAATACTGCTGGGATTGCTTTGTGTGCAGATTTAAAGCGCTGGGATAGTAAATTTGCCAAGAAGGCTGATAAGGCAGCCTGGCAGTTTGCCACAGCGTTGAGTCAGTCCCCCAAGTGATACGCTCCGGTCAAGAACTCAAATAAGAGCGGCATGGGCACGTTCTCGTGGGCGTGTATTGTGCACATGCTTTTGCAGCTTGAGACCATATGGCTTGTTGGGGAACTGTAGCCTGCCCCCTGGCCTCTTTTTGTTCCTTGCTTTGCAGAGCACGTTGGCTGCTATCTGTCTTCCAGATTTCCAGAGCTGAAAAAGCTGGTGCTGGTGCAAGAGAGCTATTGCCTCTCCCACGGATAATGGGCACCACCAGTTTCCTTGAGAGAACGCCCAAGTGCGCAAGCGAAGCTTGCTCTGTGCAGTCGCCACCGCTCCATCTCCTTGCACTGTATGGAAAGAGACCCACAAGTTCTCGTTCACGCGAGGGTTCCCATTGCATGACAGCCTACCGCTTTTCTGAAGCGCACCTTAACGGTTTGGTTGCAGAGGTGGCTGCCCCCGGCATTCTTCTGGAGGTGGAGGAGCCCATGTCCGTCTCGGCAGATGGCTGGGTGCCGTCCCGTATACCCCGCAATCCTCGGCGAGCCCCTTCGCCCTTGTGACAGATCATCTTCTTTGGGAAAGGGGGGTGCGGGGACTGTGACTCTTCAAAGCACGCTCGAACTTTTTGCGACGGGGAACGGAGGGGAACTCGTGCTAAGTCTCATCAGCGTTGGCAAGCGCTGATCGATGCCGCCTGGCTTCCGTGGGCGCCGTTTTCGATGAACAAAGCTTTGCTTGTGCAATGGCCCTCGGAGGGGAGCGGCCCCTTTGGGCGCCGGGCAATGGCACACAATATTATGAGATATAAGCCTGTACAGTGTCACGTTGTAGAACAAGCGCGCAACACGCTCGTGTGTGGCAATACACGTTGTCGGCTGCCAGAATCGCGGCTTCCGGGTCCATTGTAAGCTATCCATTTGTGGTCTCAAGAGCTCCTCGACTGCGCCTGCGTTGGCCAGTCCTCAAGGGCGGTGCTCCGATGCCCGCGCGACGCCGGTCACCTTGTGCTTCCACATTTTGCGTTCCAGGATGGTGCGCGGTCGACGCAAGGCATTTCAGCGGCGGCCCGTATTCGCGGAGGCGCACTGTTGGTCACAAATAGCCCGTTGCACAGTGTCCAATCGATGCATTTGGCGAATACATGTGGCATCCCTCTGGCCTGCGCCGTGTACAGTGCCTGTCCAATGGAGGACAGCGTTGCGCAGGGCCCCACATCGCGCTGGCAAGAAACGCTGGCATTTCATGCAGTTGCTGACCATGTACACAGCTGCATGAATGTGGCAGGCAGCGATTAGAGCTGGAACCCTCTGACAAGCCGCTGCCCGTCAATGATCAGTAGGGGTCTATGGTTTATGGCAATTAATCTACCACAGCTGTATGGTACATGTATTGCAGATTTCGTTGGGAAGTGGTGGACCTACCGAAAACAAGTCATCGTGGTATTGCAGGGGATCAAGATTGGCGCGCAGTATTGGCGTCGTACAGTATGAGGCCCAAGCAGCGACTGGTCCAAGCGCGATGGTACGACGCCTACCATGCTGCCTAAAATCTTGCCAGACTGGATGAGAACCAATTAGGGTCGCTTTAATCCTCCATGCTATCCAACAGGGCGGACGACACTGCTGGCCCCGGTTGTCAGTAAGCAAGGTCCGGGCTCCGGCAGGTTTCTGAAACAATCGTGTGAAGTACTAAAAACGTGGAGAGCTGTCAAAACAGTACACTGCAATTTTCTACAACGCAGTACACGCTTCAGTCATGTTCCATGCCATGAATACTCCTTTGTGTTGAAACAGCAAAGTGAAGACATTGCGCCTGAAGTAGACCAATGCTGCTCTGAAGGCGGCAGCAGTGATGACGGCAATGGGAGTGGGGTTTTCTCTCAATACCACAATCACTGCTTCCACTTGCCTATTGCACGCAGCCTCCTTCTTAGCCTGATATCGCCCATTGGCTTGGAATCGGTTGCGGTTTTGCCATGGACAGATCACGAGCGCTCCAAATGCGTGCACAACAACTTGCCCACCATGGTTACATGGCCCAACTTCACTTCGGCATGCAGCGTGACCAAGAAGCTCGTGATCCAGGTCGTATTCAGTGTAAATGCAGCGTGCAATGCAAAATGTGCATCTCCACGACAGATTCTTCTGCTACTTTCACCTGCACCGGCGCAATATCCCTTGGTGAACGATAAAACCGCATTTTCAGCGGTTTCGGGTCTAGGGTTTTCAGCAGTAATTGCTGTTGCAACATATTTGAACAGAGTGACCATCAACTCCCCCCCCCCCCCCCCCCCCCCCCCCCCCCCCCCCCCCCCCCCCCCCCCATGTTCCCCACACGACAATACATTACACTCACACAGTTTGGTGTCCATCACCTCACTATTACAAGACCCGATTGGCGACCCACTTGAACGTGCCCTCGCTTCGCTTAGTACTCCATGCCACCCTGATGGTGGCTCAACCCTGAGTCAGCTCCCCCTTTCTTGTACTCAACTCCCTCTCCTTCCCACAGCGAACCGATGGGTGGGGGATCGCCACTTCCCGCCTTGCCCGCGCGGCTGGCCGCGGCCGCCTTGGTCGCAAGCTTGACCTCTTGCGCGTTAGGGGCTCCTTGCGGAAGGCTCCAAGGGTCCCGTCGATGATCTCGGTGGTGAAACCGCCTTCGGTCTCGCTGAGGCGGATCTGAGCTTGCAGCGCCCGCCAGGATCCCTCGAGTCCGGTGCCGCGATGCTTGGCGTGCACTTGGTGAAGGCGGAGCTGATCGACCTGGCGCTCGGTAATGGCCACCGAGGCGTAGACGTACGGGAGGAGGAGGTCGCGGATCGAAGGAGGGAGGCTCGGGTGGGCGACGAGGTCCACGAAAGCCGCCGTGTAGTCGAACTGCCACGCGACCCAAGGAGCCCAGCTCGCGTACTCCTGGAAGTAGCCGGAGATGGGTCCCAAAGCGGCGGCAACGGTCTGGCCTTGGCCCGTCTCCCGTACGTCGAACCAGGCCGGGAAGGACGTGAAGTCAGGCCTGGCGACGCGGTTGTTAACTGACCGCGGGAGTAAGCGGGGGTCGGGGACCCACGTGAGCTCTATGGGTCGGTCAGGGAGGCGCTGGTTGAAACGAAGCGCCTGCGCCCTCAGCCACTGTTCGGCAGGGCTGGGGTTCATACAGAAAGGACTCGGCGCGAAGGCCGGAGGGTAGAACCACTCGGTGGTTCGAAGCGAAACAAGATAAGGGGGGTGCCAAGGGTCGCGCCTAAAATAGCCGCTCCCACTTGCCGCCAAACTCCCCGCCAAACCCAAGGGCCAGCTTGACCGGCCCCCTTGGCTGTGCATAAGGTACAAGGCTCACCCAACTGCCCTTGGATCCGCCGGGCAGAACTGACCCCAAGTATAGGGGCTGACAGAAACCGGCCTAGTGATGGCCCTGAAACTGGCCCAAGGGGCAGAACGGCCCAAACTGGCCGTTACGCGCCCACCCAACGTCGTCCTTGGCAGAAATTCATTAACAGGATAGTTAATTATATTTCCCGTCTGATGCGGACAAATTCTAAGGTGGCAAGAGCTTATCATGCAACTGTAAATGGCCACTGCACCAGCTCTTGCAGGGACGCAGCTTTTCAATTGTGACACGTGTCGGTGATTGCAGGCGTGCATCCAGCATTCCCTCCACATGTTACTTCCTTTCATTGCATTTCAGGTATGAATGAAAGTCCCCGGCACTCATCATGCAATTTACCACAGAGGAGTCCAGTACACAAGATGTGCAGGTCTGCCGGGGGAAGTTAAAACCGAAACTGCAGTGTAGTTTTCGTTGTTCATTTGGCGGCAGGCATGCGCTTGTCAACTTCATTTCACCTGTCACCTGTCACTCCTACAACGGCTTCGAAGCACCTGAGCGGACAGTTGTTCCACGCGCAGCACGTCCCATCCGGCAATGCTTTCCGCAGAAGCGCCCGGGTTTATGGACAATTTCTGTGGCGTCGGTGCGAACGCTGTAGTTCAACTCTTCAGCATTGGTTCTCTGATCGATTTCTGCCCAGTTGACGCATTGAAAGCCGTAGCCGAAAGAAATGCCCGGTTGATGCATCCCAAACTTTGGCACCTTTACGAAAAGCCCCCGTACGCGCTGGAATGGTCACAAGCACCTACCCTAGGGCGCCCTGTTTTATGTCCGTCCCTCGGTTCTCTGGGCCCCACGTGTTATCCCTCACGCACAAGCTGACGCCCCGTGGAACCTTGATGACCCCCGCCGAACATGGGATCTCAACCCTCAGATGCCGCAAGCAACGCCACAACGTTGGTTCCCTTGGAGTGGACCACGCACTTGCTGCACCTTTCCCAATGTGAGGGCTGTGGATTGTTGTCGCACTAGGAAACTGGATTGCATTAAGATCGCGCAGCGGACGGAGCTGCGGCTTCTTGCCGCACCAGATCTTCAAGCAGGTCCACAACCTTGAAGGCCATGCGTCGACAATGTGTGGGTGTTGGTGCCGGCTCCAGCGAGCCATGAGGGAAGACGGGTGATGTCGTAGACCTGTGTGCTCATCAGCAACCACCCCATCCTTTGTGGTAACCTGTTCTGTACAGGGTATGGACAGTTTCGCAGTGGACCCCGAATATATATGAATATACGTGGATGCATATGCAACGGCCACTTGCCCGCCTGACTGGAGTACAGTTCCAAAGCCCTGTCGGTGTGAGGCACCTCTGGCGGAACGGGCTACCGTAGTTGGGGCTGTTTGGCGCCGCTTTGGGTGCTGCACCGGTTGCATGCGGCCCATGCGGGGCGATCGCGAGCCATCCGACCAAAGGCTACTCACACAGAGGTGTCACCGCAGCAACACTTGCAGCTGGCTCGGGGAATCCTGACCATGTGGCCCCGGCGGATCAATGAAGGCCGGGCCCACAACATTACCCCTGACTCGAAAACCAGTCTTAGCTTTCCCCTTCCTCCCGCCCGCCCTGCAAGCGGAACTAATGTGCCGTCCGCTTCCCACACGGCATGTCGCCCCCCAATCCCAGCATCTACTCTCCTCAGCAGGGCCTCAATCGACCTTCACGGAGGCAAAGATGAAGTAGTTGAAGGCGAAGGAAGATATGAAGCCGACGGTGCCCATGGCCAGGTAAGTGCCCCACACCACGATGCCCATGTAGGACGTGTAGAGCGTGAAGGGCAGGAAGCCATCCAGGTTGTGCAGCATGGTGTACAGGAAGATCGCAGCGTACATCATCAGGTACAAGGCGATGCTGCCGCCACGGGTGAAGGAGCGCCACCTGGCAGCCGCTCAAGTTGCACAAGTGAGGGCACGGAAAGACAGAACACCGCTGCAGCCAAAGCGGGTGCAAGATCGAAGAACTGTGCCAGTGTGCCAACTCAGTCACTGTGCCAAGTGCTGAGTCTCCACAAGGTGCCAATTTCAGAGTTTACAAAGCACTGAAGATTGACCTAACGACTTGGCACTTCTGCCAGTATAGCTAGAAGGAGAACAAGCACAAAAACCAGCTTTTGCGCTGTAGCACAACATTACAAAAATGGAAGTACCAAAGGACGCTAAGCAAAGTCCCAAAAGTAATAACGAAACTAGACGACTGAATGCACTTCCATACAAGAGACTGAGATGGTGGTGCAGAGAGTGTGCTTCCCAGTTACAAGAGGCATGTCAATGCATGCCCCTTGATGCTCAACATGCACACAGAATTCAAACGACGATCTCATGTTTGGCAACGGCAGTGTGCTCCAATGCTCTGCTATGATCTCTTGATTGCTCAGCAGCTGTAAGGATACGAGGGATACCAAACACTGTTGACCGAAATCAGCCACGAAAATCAGCCACAGGGCATGCCGGTGCAGTCCAACGGGCACTTACCACCAGTGATAGTCCTCCGTACAGAGCTGCACGTAGGTGCACAGCACAGACACCTCGATCGTGATTATGATGGTCAAGATGAGGATCATGGCCAGGTAGCCGAACAGGTAGTAGTAATAGCCCATCCACATCGATGTCATCATGAAGTACAGCTCCAGGAAAAGAGTGCCAAAGGGCAGGAGACCAGACACCAGGAAGAGCAGCCAGGGGTTGGTGGAGAGGGGCGGGGCGGGAATGTGGCGGGGGATCTGGTTGGTGCGCACAGGGTACTCTCGGATGGACACTCGCGCGGCCATGTAGCCCCCGAAGAAGGTCAGGGGGATGGACACCAGGAACCACAGGAAGAGGATGGAGAAGTAAGTCGAGGCTGGGATGGCACCTGGGGCGGGAACGCAGGTACAGCAGGGGTGAGGGTTCACGCTCGCATGCAGGCACCGGGTGGGCATGAACATGCTGTGCATTTGTGGTTATAGAGTGCGTGCACAGGACAGTGGCATTGTACTTTCACAGCATTGCAACATCATGAGATCAGATCTGAAACAACAGCAACAACAGCACACCGCCAGGGACCCATGGAGTCCCTAATGTTTCTTTCTTGCTGTTCAACATTTACCTAGATGCAAACAACACTTGGGGCGTTTTATCCCCTTGCACTGTTTTGCTAGGATGGGGCTGGCACCTGGACACCAAAATGCAATATGATATTTCGAAATCAACTAAAAAGCCATAAAGTAATAGCACCACAGGTGTTGTGCCATTTCTTGATAATTGATTCACAATCGACGAGTTGGTTGACAAATGCAGCGTGTGAATTGACTTGACGTTGCAAGACGTGGAACATCAACTAACCCTGTCTTTTTAAGGGGTTGAGGGGTGGGTGTGGGTGGAGCTTGACTCAACGACTGCTGAAGTAATGTGGATTGATAAAAGAAATACTGGAAATCGAGGGCACATGCAAAGGCATTGATGCCATATCCTGAAGCACAAACGACAACCATTGACATGCCCTGCCCTCTGCCACACCTGTGGACCCCGTGTGCTTGATGAGCAGGTTCAGCATGGTCAGGACCAGCAGTGTGGTGCCGGGGAAGTACACCGAAACCCTCCAGCACACAGCCTTCCAGCCCTCATAAGTGCGCATCAGCAGCCCCCACAACCACACGCCGGCAAAGCCTGCCCCCACAGCCAGCAGCATGTACAGCACCAGCAGTGCCGTCAGCAGCGAGCCACGAGCCGCAGGGGACAGGAAACCCACGGCTGCAAAGAGCAGAGTCACTGCACATGTGGATATGATCTGGACGCCAGAGCCAAAGCGCACAGCAAGGCCGATGGGGTTGCTTGGGCAGCGGAACACGTCGCCCGAGACCATCTTCCACCCTGCCTCCTCCTTGAGGTCTGCGGCACTGGTGCCGCCATCCATGAGGAGCTCCTCGTACTGGGCCAGGTCGCGGCGCACAGTCCGGATGAGGATCATGGCGCACACAACGGCCATTACCATCACGACCATTAGGGAGTTCAAGATGCTGAACCAGTGTACCTATGTGACAAGGGCAGGGGTATGGGAACTGAGGTCATTTTAAGACAGCACTGAAATATCAGCATCCTATTCCAACAAACCTGATGCCCAAAACAGAGTGCTGAGCGATCAACAGCGACAGGTCAATGCCACACTGTGCTACTATGACGGCACTGCAAAATTAACAAAGTGGAAGTGCATACACCTGAAAGCTGTTTCTCACACCCTTCAGTACAATAATGGCATGAATTAAACAGCCATATCCACTTGTCAATGTGACAATTGTGCAGCGTATAAGTCCTAGCGCATTGCTGTGAATAATCTTCGCATTAATCCACACAAGATTGTCACTTGCCCGATCTGGATACACATAGTGCTCCCTCCAGGAGAACACACAGATTTGATCAAAAGTGCTGGCTGGTGCTGTCATGCGTGTGGAAAGACCATACAGCAACCATCTGCACCAACGCCTTTATGGCCTGACGATGACCATGCTGCCTATCTAAACAAGGCTCCACACCAGCATCACCTTTTCCAACATGGACAACCCTATGCAACGATGATCATGTCTCAAAACAGTTGCTGCCGGCCATGTGCGGGTGGTGAACGTACTGCGGTATCTTAAAACCCTTTTCTCTGCCTCTATCCCCAAAGGCGGTTTGGTCCCCGAACACCCCCCACAAAAGAAACAGCACAGCCCCCCAGCCCCACCCTTCACACACACACACACACCTGGCTGTCTCTCACCCCGCCACTCACCTTGCCTCGACATCCTCAAAATGCGCCATCCACCTGGAGGCCCTCCACCTCGGCCTTCCCCAAACCGAGCGTCGTGCGTTAATGCGTATCAGCCCTCTTGTATCTCCTGCTCGTCAGCCGGCTCGCCCAGGCACTGCTTGCCGGCTTCGACTGTGCTATCGGGATCGTGGCGCACACTGCAGGGATACACCTCGAAGCCGACGATCATGTACATTGACGTCTTCACCTGTGTGTCATTCCAGTCTGCATATTTGCCCTCATTCAGTTGCTGCAGGGATCTGCCAGAGAAGTGGGCATCGCTCAGTTCGACGTAGGCAGTGTCCACGCCACGCACATCATCTTTGGACAGCAGGAGCCTCCTGCCATCGATGCTAGATGCGGCCAGGCGCTCCGCCTCTTGCCTGTAGTTGGAAAACTGTCCATGGGTAGGGTGCACATATATGCTGAAGATGAGGTGGTTGTTGATGTAGTACTTGCCACCCTGCTTGATTCCGACAGGAAAGCCTGGCTTGATAAGGTAATCTTCATGGTTTTGATTATCGTCGATCTGCAAGCAGACAATCAACGATGTTATGACCAA